TTTCTCCTGTGTACTGCTTTGCTGTTTTATGGATCTGCTGGCATAGAAAGCTGAAGTGTTCATTGGCTGGTAGGAATAGTTTGAGCACTAGGTCTTTTATATTACATGTTTGCTTTCTGTTCTGGTAGTCCCTGCTTCTCCAGATTGAGATGCATGTGTGTTTGTCCACTGCCAGGATTATTTACAGGGAAAAATGAAACAAGAGAGACCAGAAATGTTTTCAATGTCTTGTGATTTCAGTGGAAACAGATAAACAAATATTTGAGCACTCAACTGCAGAAGGGTTGTGCTGTGAGTATTTTGGCATGGGAATATCACAACTGCCCATTACACTCTGCCTCAGTGTCAGTAGCTTGGAAGGCTTTCCCATTGACACTCACTGCTTTTTCATAAAACAACGTCTGAAATGGTGGCTTGTTATGGAAAACTAAAAGTAACAGTTTAATAGCACATTGTTAATGAGTGAACTGGGATTAAGATCTTGCTGAGATGCATTTCTAAGGGATTTCCTTTTCTATTTCAGAATTACAATACTTGTCATACAGCATAATTATGCATTCACAAGAAATAAGAAAACAAATGAGGGTTGCAGATTGAAATTATTCTTGTGAGCTTTCTACTAATTTACCTCTGAGAATCATAGTTCAGAAAAGAAAGAGTGAACAGTATTGGGATCATAGTTTTCTCTGGGTTTCCATGTGATTTTGTAGCAGTAGAATCTCTGTTCCTTCCAATGTGCTATTGTATTACTGTACTGCGGTCCAAAGACGGCAGCAGTGTACTGGCCCACCAGAACCATAACATGAAAATATTTCAGGTCTAGAGATTTGCATTGGTTAAGTGGAGTATAAAGGTAAAGAGTGAAGTATCCAAATATAGAAAGTAGCTATCATTCCATCTATGCACTGCTATGATAAAGCAGATATTTGTAAAAAGCACATAGTAATGCCACAGCCTGAGTAACAGTTTGCAAGTCATGAAACAGCAAGAATTAGGAGAATTTAATAAAAAATTAGATTTTTTTCCTCATCCCTAAGCCTTTGAGGTGTGCTGAATTCTTTAAATGCTTTAAATGCTCTATATGCTCACTGAACGAGATTTCTTTTTTTTCTTTTTTTTCTAATAGAACTGTGTTCAAAATCATTCTCTTGATGCCAGACCCTTGAGCATTAAATAAACTCAGTATGGTAATAAAATAAAAACCACTGGCAGTTGTTAACGATACTAATTTTCAGTTGATGCCCCTTTGAGTTGCTAGAGACAAATCTTAGAAAGGCTTCTGCACTCTTCCATGAACCCAAAATGAGCTTGCTGCATAGATGTTTTCCTTTTTACAGAAGCTACTCGTGCTAACATTGCAGTGGGAAATCATGCAGCTGCCTGCTCTGCATTCCAGGCAGGGATGCATGTATAATGATTTGTCCATGAAATCAAAGAACTCTACTCCAAAGCAACAGGTCCTCCTTCTTTGCTCATGCACATCTCACCTTTTTGACTGCCAGGAGATGGGCCTGAGTAAAGAGTCAGAATTTTGCCTGAAGTGAGGATCATGCATGAACAGGTATGAAAATTGTATTGGCCTGTGGATATAAAGCTTCAGCTGAAAGTGTAGTGAAAAAGTTCCCAGGGCAGCTTTATACCTGCATTTTTTGTTCTTCTGGAAATGCCCAGCAGGTTTTGAAGAGTTGTTTAGTTTGCCCGGGGTATCCTTGTGTGTAGTAGCCATATTGTCCATAGCATGACATGAGATTTTTGAAAACCACTGTACTTACAGGACTTATGCTTTAGCATAGCTGCAGCACATTTACAACAGATCCAAGATTTTCTGCAAGTCCCAAGCTGTGCTTTACCCATTAGCGATTCTGATTTTCTGGAAGATCCTCAGTTGATAGGTTATAAAACTAATTTTTCAGATTTTGGATCAAAATTTCAAATATTTTCTTCAATCTGTGCATGCATATTTGCATCAGCAAAATTGCAAAACCAAAATGCTTGGTGAGCATTCAACACATACAAGATATGAAGCAATGTGTGTGCACATAAACTTATTGGAACTATATATAAAGACAAGGGCTCCTTATCTGTAAGTATGTAGCAGGCAACTAGATTGTATAAAATACCCATACTTTGCATTTGCATTTTAAAAATAAAAATCCCCATGTAAAAACTTGAATCAAATTCTTTCTGGAAAATTTGAAGGAAGAGAGAACTCCATGCATGGCTAAATAAGTGGCAAAAATTTATCCCAGGGACCCTTGTTCTGGGGCACAGATTTCATCATGTGAAAGAGTTCAGTGCTTTAGGTTTTTTTTCTTTTAATGGTCAGAATTTGTCAGCATTTACAATATATCATCATGTAAGATAGCCCTGTTAATTCTACTACAAATAATAAAGACAGACTTCACAGGCACTTTATATTTGGAACAGCATTTTAAAATTACATTGGGGCGGGGGGGTGTGTGCACATGTACGCACATGTGTGTGCTTGTGTGTACGACAGAGCATAGCTGTCTGTGATATGATTCCAACTTTTTCCAGTATCATGGACACAACTAAGAAACATTGACTGGAAAATCATCTACAAAGGTTGAGGATTAACAGCCTCTATGTTATACAGATGGTTATCTTCTTTCTGAAAGAACATACTGTCATTACAAATACCATATGTATCTTGTTCTCACCCAACAGAACTTTTTTTCAGTTTTTCAGATTTGAAGGGTTTCTGCAAAGAACCATATTAAATTGTTTTCATGTAAGGTGAAAGGAGGCACCAACCAAGACCGAGGACACAACTTGTCATCAAAAAATAAATGTCTGATGACAATCATTCTTGAAAAAAGATGATTTAGAAAGCTATCCATTTACAATACTGCACCTTTTTTTCAAATACAAGAACCGTATTTGTTGCTGCCTCCCATATTTGTTGGTTTTCATTGCTATCATGTTGCTTGTAAAACCTGGGTTATTCTAATGAACAGAAATTATGACTTGAATTTGGGTAATGCTTACGACCATACAAATAATCTATCAGTAGCAATAGTGTCAGCTGGAGAACTAATGCTACAAGTGGATAACATTACGCTACTTGAAACCAATAGCTCTTCACACAGTAGAAGACTGAGGGTCCTATTCAGCAAATATTCAGGGTCCTATGGCCGGGGCCACAGAGGTTCCAGAAGCTCTCGCTGAGTCTAATCCTGATTCAGGAACCAAAATGATATGCTGTGTATATATTTCTCTGCACAGCCTGGATGCGCTGGACACCCTCCCCCACTTGATTCCTGGGAAGGAAAAAAATATGTCTCTGTTTAGCTCAGTGACGTGAAAAGCAATCCACAGTAATGAAATCTAAAGAAGTTAGCCAGGCATGTATGAAAAGAACAGGATGCCTGTAAAAAGGGAAGAGCTGTCAAAACCTAATTGTGGGCTCTGGCTGCAATAAAATTTATCAAAGAGGGAAGATGGGTTGGATATAAGGATGTAGACAACTTCTACTAAGAGACATTTCTTCTGGGAAATAGTAACCGTTACACTACTCCTCACGTGCTTTGTCAAGCCATTCCTATCAATGCTTGCCTACAGCTGAGAGCTTGGTGATGTGTTCTCTAAACCCAGCTCCCAAATGCCCAGGTAGGCATTTCAAATGTGGCACTTCAGCCAGTACCTAGCTTGTCACTGAGGGCACAAAAATTTAGGCAGGGCTCTACTATTTTGCTCGATCTTTCACAGCATACTTGCATATTGGCAGCACCCATGCTCTGAAAAGGCATGGTGCATTCCCACTGCAACAGAGCCCGTGAGGACTCAAAGGTCTCCCTGCTGAAACTGTGCTGCTGTGGTCCCCAGGCACCAGTAAATGTAATTGCTTATGGAGACAGGGCAAGACTGTGGTGTTTTTGCCATTTTGCTGCACATTCCTATTGCCTGACAATTGTTTATGGAACTGCCTAGGTTTAGTGCTTACAGCCAAGTGGGTAAAGTCCTCAGTTGCATTCTAGTAACGTGGCTGCACTCTCATGCATAAAGTACACGCAGAGAGGCTGCAAACTGCCTGCCTCTATATATTAAGTGCTTATGGCATTCTTCCTGGCTTGATATGAATACAACGGTCTTTCCTGTCTTTCAGCACTGGGGTAACATTGTGGCTATTCATAAACATAGTAGTTTCTTTTGACTAGGATTACTGCCTGACTTTAGCCAGTGATAACAACAATAAAAGTAAGTCATGGTAACTCTCAGGAAGCAATTTAGTTAGATCTTTGATGAATTTTTGTGTCTCATGAATCAGGATTAGCATTCCCTGTATTGGGGAGAGGATTAGACAGAGGGATTAAAAGGACATCTTTACCCCACTGGACTCTGTGGAATAGCCCCTGAGGATATGGCTAAGAAAGAGTTCAACAGAAATGCCAAATTTCTGCTGAATAGGTTAAAAGGGTGAGGAAGCCTCTTCGGCAGCCATCCAAGCGCAGAAGACCTGCATAACATTTCTGCTGAATAGGGCCCTAAAGACAAAAAACAAAACAAAACAAAACAAAAAAACATAGGAACCTTGAAAAGCTTTTCTGATTGTGTGCCTTCTTATCAACTCCTCAGATCTCCAGAGACACTTAAACATTTTTTTTTCAGTGCAGTTAGGCATCCCTTGAGATGTGCTAGTGGCATGGATGATATATTCTTACAAGAGAAGAAGTCAGATCAGGTTGCTATATATATATAAAAAAAAAGGTCTTGGTAAACGAGGTCCGTTTCTTTATATCAATTATCAGTGAAAGTTACCCAAGATCCTATTTAAAAAACAAAACCAAACCCTTAATCCAGTGTATAATGTTTGGTGTTTTCATGTATATATTAAAGACATTAATTACTTACTGTCCCCCTAAAATTGAAAGGAGCAGACTTAACTTGCTTATGTTTGACTTTTAACATCATTTTTTCCGAGCCCTTTTCTAGGATTCAGTGCATGCTCGTGGATCTTGGTTTTGTTCATAACATTCTATTCAACTTCTAATGCCATATGGAAGAATTTTCACAATTATAGTAATGGGGAAGCAAGAAATAAGTCTTACCTCTGCAAGAGGATGCCAGTGAGCAATAGGTTTCCGAGGGTATGAGAGCATTTCATTCCAGTGGTCGCGACCTAGACTTTCTGCATCGTTGCCTACTTGACATACTCCAATGACCTCATTGTGACCTACACTGTGAAAATGTTCCATATTTTTTTCTTAAAATTTTACCTTTAGAACCATATCATTTACATATTTCATTAGAAACAGTCACAGATTTTTAGAATTAATTCTTGCCTGAAAAATGTAATGAACTATAAAATACATAGGTTTGCTCTTTGCATTTCCCACTAATCAGAATAATTTAGTATTTTCCCCATTATAGCATACACTGTGTGTCTGTGTGCATTTGTTTCTTATTGTTGTATGAAGAATGTAAAAAGTTCTTTGCCTGTGTTCTGTAATTAGTTGCAAATACAAGTAAACTCTAGGCCACAATTTTAGAAATGGAGGCGTGTGTCTAAGGCATTAGTGTAATTGTGCACAAACAGAACATCAGTGTGTGGACTGTCTGATTATATATTCAGTTATTTCAGTTCTGGTAAGCATATATGCAGCTTAGTTATGTCAGCTATGGATGCAAATCTGTATTTTAAAAATTTAGAAAGGAAATTCTGCCTGGCAATACAAGAAATTTTAGTCTTCTACCAAAGTCAAATGACATTAATTTCCCATTTATTGGGAAAAAAATGCTAACTTTGTTTCTGGATGCAAATCTACTGTGCAAGATTTTATAAGCCAATAGATGATGTTATTTTACAGCTACAGGTATCTCACCGGTCATAATCCATAACAGCTATCGACAAGTTAATTTGGTCAATGTTTTCTGGAGGGACGTCAAAGACTATGGCTTCATTGTAAACGGGATTAAGGGTATTCCTCTTGGTGGAAGTTTTTCTTTTCTTTAGTCGCCTTCCTTCACACATTAAAGAAACCTTCACGTAGGGATCTGTGTGAATCATAAGAACAACGTTGGTTTTCTTTTGCTGTTTTTAAGCAAACATAAATGGAAATTGAAGGGAGCAGCCTTCTTGTATGCCCATACCTGCTTGCGGAATTAGTCACCCAGACCTGACTGGAATTTGGGCTTCTTTATTAACATGGAATGCCTGGGAGGCCGTGGAGCTTTGAAAGCTTCACCTGGTTGACTGCTTATAATGAACAATTTAGGATCAAGAAGCTTCTTGTTGTGTACCGACTTCTCAAAGGGTATTAAAATATCCACTGAACTGTGTTATACATGACTGTTTTATGCAACAGCCTGTGTATCAGCCTATTTATAACAGCCTAATTACTTGTACAGATTTGTAGGACAGACAGAAGATGACAATATTTTACACAGTGGGATTTCCTGATGTATGGTTAAATATAATTCAAAGTGTAACAATTAGTGGCTTATATTTCTCAAGAGAATTATAATTATTTTTAAACTCCTGAATGTAATAAAAAAATCTATTTCTTTGTAGCTCCTTTCTGGGAGTTCTACAACTCCCTGCTAGTATTCAGAAGTTGTCTATGAACTCTTATTTACATTAGTTTCTTGTTTTCATCATCAAATTTTGAAAGGGTTGCTGAAAAGAGTCTGGGATGATCACTGCTTTGCCCACATGCCAGCAACAGCAGAATTGGCTCAGTGGCTCTTGGAGACTGTCAGAGAGGGTCAGTCTGCCTCTGTGCCATAGCCGTAACAAATAGTCTGCTGTACAAACAAATTCCCAGTGTTACGAACACAGTTTGGCCAACTCATGCTATTTTGAATCACAGTGGCTTTAGAAATAATATTCTTGCTGGCTTTTTAAGAACAGATTATTTTAAACTGTTGGTTGCAACAGAACAAACTAAAATATGTTATTTACTTCTGAGAAACTCCTGTACTCAAGTAACTCAAGAGCTTGCAGTATAAGAACCCTTTTCTCAAAAATCATTCTGGGAATTGACAGTGCTGAGTTCTGTGACTCAGGAGGGAAATGGGACAGAAATCCACACTGAGCATTAAATTCATTCCTACCTGATGCTCCTGTGATATCCATTGCCTTTAAATTTCTTGCCTTTATTATTGTAATAGTTAGTCTGCCAGCTGTTGGAAGGTAGCAGAGTGAAAACATCAGGTCACCAAGATCCACATTATCCTGTTCCAAGGAAAGAGAGACAATGTGAAGCAGAACAATTTTCCCTAGCCATAACAGGAACTAAAGATAAAATATACCTTTGGGGATTTGAAGTCATGCAAGCAAAAGCTGAATTCTCATTGTGAAACATATCTGGAAAAATAGGCACATATCTGCATACAATGTTGAAGTCGCTACATTTGTTGCTAGAGCACCTAAGTTCCTCAAGTGTAAATGTGGTTATAGTTTCTAGCACTTAGTCCTTGGAGATGAAACACATTTAAGTGATGAGGTACACCGTGAGGCACTGGAATACCTTTGTTCTGTTTTATGTTTTGTAGTGATTTGTGTGTATCATTGACAAGTTTCAACAGATCTCTGTGCCTTTCCTTCTGGTTTGCGGAAGGATACCCATAGAGAGGTTTACAGAAAGAACATTGGTCGGGCAGAGCAAAGTTTTATGCAGCTCTCAAGCTTGCATAAACTCAGATGTGATGGGGTGAAGTCAATATGGTAATGGGGCAGTCCCCACCAGAAGTAGAGTAAGGACATTACTTCCTGGGAATGATTTGCAACCCTTTACTCTGTTAATGGCATCAGGGTTTCAGCAAGGTAGTAGAAAATGAGCAACCTGTTTGCAGTTACAAAGCATCTGGCTTTTTTTTTTTAAAGGAAATCCAGCTCTTTTATAAAAGATATAGTGAATAAAGGATTGTATTAAATGATTTCTGGGATTTGATTTGCATTTTTTTGAGCAGTGAACTAGTACTTTTATAGACCTATCTCCTGTAACCCAATATTTCATTCTTGACTGAAAAAAGTTATCCTGTCCAGCAAATTCAAAGCTTTGTTCCAGGTTTCATAGGGAAAGGAGATACAGCTGTTGTGGAATATACGTATCTTGCCCACTTAGCTTTGTGCAATAGCTTCTCTCCTTTCCCAGGTTGGGTGCTTCTGTGTCAATCACCAAAAAATGAGGGGTGGTGGATGACATAGAAGGTGAGTGAAAATATCTTGAAACAGCACCTAGCAGGTTAGTGTTTGTCTCTGAGCTAGCTGCTGTATAGACCAATGCCCAGAGCCTATGCAGTCACGTTACGTAGTTTCATGAGTTAGCAGGGGAGACATGCAGGACAGAAAGAATTGCTGTCAGAGCTGTAGAAAAATGTTATGTTGGAAGAGATTTCTAGAGGTCACTTGATCTAACCCCTTGCTCAAGAGAGGCATCTTCATTTTCGTTCTTCTCAGCTCAAGCAAGGGAAAAAAAAGTCATCTACATTCATTCAGAAACAGGTCCTTTCCTTGTGCTGTTATGGGAGACAGCTGCTATCAAAGAAGGAAAAAGCTGATATTATGGGCCCTTTGTCAGTAATAACTAGCTTTTAACCCTGACTTGACTTCACTGACTATCATCTTTTCCATTCTGAAGATCAGTGTTTTGTGGTAGCTGTAAAGCTAATAAAGGTTGTGACAATATCAAGATAGCTGATATGACTCACCCTGTTTAGTGTCTCTTGACGGATCACACTTGGAAGCAGACCTGCTGCAACAAACTGTGTCACTGACTTACTTTGACTGTGGGAGGATCAAAGTGCTGTTTGAGAAGGTGATGCTGTAAAGAAGTCCTACAGGCTAAAGTGATGCCAGCACATCGAGGAGAAATTTCTCTTGGCTAACACCTGCACTTAACATTACAGGAGTAATAACTGATCTCTGAAATTTTCCCAGTGGTCAGCTGGAGCTTGATACCTATAACCTGGGGAACAGGAAGCAAAGATTTCACTTATCCTTCCCATTGTGAGGAAGAAAAACCTACAGAATTTAAGTGAAATTCCCCAGCTCTGAGGTACTGAGATTTGTAGCTGTGGAATTCTCTCTCATGCTGCTAACCATACAACTCTGGGTCGAGCAGAATTTCATAAGCTATTTAAAGAAATTACTGAGTGAAGCCAGCTTTTGGCAATTTGGGGAATTTGCCACTCTGGCAGACTTTGAGAGGTTATTTTTCATGAGTTGGTCACAAACTTTTAGGAGAAGATAGCATTGTTGAATCCCTCAGTTTTTCCCTGACCATAAAGCAGCCCATCAGGCATCTGTTGTTCTAATTCTGTATCTTGGTATTCGTAGATATTGTCAACCATGTCAAAGTCATTCTGTATTCAACTTCAGTGCTCCACTTGGTGACCAGGTAATTCATTATGTGAGTACTGTAAATGCTTTACTGTTACTACCAAATGCAAGAGTTTCCATTCCAGACTTATCATCCTGAATGAACATTTTAAAACCTTTTATCAGTTCTTATCAAGAAGTTAATAGGTAAATGAATTACTACACAATTATTTTAGATACAAATTCCAAGAAACATGTTATCCCTCTGCATAAATGAATTCATTAGGAAAGAAGAGATCGCATGCATTGAATGTAGTATTAGGAATTATGTCATAATATACTTATCCACAAACTTTGCCTTACGTTTGAAAAGTAATCTTCACCTACACTCTGATGTATTTTTTATCAAATGCTACAACAACAAAAATAATTTGTTAATGCTCTTCCAAAAATTGCACTGGGCATCATACAGAGAAACACTGTTATAACAGGAAACAGAGCCTGCAATTTCTTCAGTCTTTTCCAGTTCTAGAAGTTGTAGGTGTTGTAGCAATAGATCACAGATGATTGTGAGATTCAGTCTGTTCATAAGCCAATGATAGTAGTGATCGAACCATGGTAGTCTGAGAACGTAATTGAAGAAAAGCGTGCAGGCAGAAGCAGGAGAGAGACATACTTTTTGGCATGCAAATCCTTCTCTGAGTGTGAAAAAAAGCCTTGTCTTCTCACAACTTCATTTTGATTTGTAGGGAATTAACTACTACTCCATAATACCAGTTACTTGCAAATGTTTTCTTAATTTCAGAAAGACAGATTTGCTAACAGAGTGAGCCTTTCCCAGTGCCCTGGCTATTCTACCCTTCTTATCCCTATTTTCTGTAATTGAAGGGCAACATTTTTAACTGTTGCAAACATTGTAAATTTTGCTGTTGGGGCTTCAATGTTCAACTTAATGAGGGAATGTTCTTCAAAGAGTACCACAAACCATGACTGCACCACAGAGTCTGCATGTGTGTGTTCACCTGCCTGGGTAACTGCAGTGGAACAGGCAACATGCTCTGACTGGAGATCAGTGGTGTCACAGGCATGACCATTACATCCAGCAAACACAGGTCCTTACTATAAATTCAGTTTCCTGACAGAACCAAGGTCTATGTGACAGAGCACAGAAGGGATTATTGCACATCTTCACTAGTGTAAAATCACTAAGCCACATGGCTTAAGCCATGGATTGTCACTAAAGGTGTACTGTATTACCAAGAAATACCTTTAAGGAACAGAATTAAGAAGAACAGAGGGTAGGATCTTCTGCAAGGATTATGCTTCTGCTTGAATTGAGTACTTATGTGTTACTATGTATGCTTGACAAAATATGGTGATATAAATATTACACTACCAGAAACATTTTTAAATTCCTGCTTAGAAAAAGATTTCATAATATTGTAGGTTATCAAGTTATGTATTTTGTACATTCCAAATCTGTGTCTAACTTTATTTAGTGTGGTAGTAATACCATACTGTGCAAGTTACAGTGCAACCAGGACAGCCCTAATATAACCAGACCAAAAGTCTGGTTAATAGTATTAATAACTTAAAAGAATATATTTGAAAGATAATTAAATTACAATAAGAGTAAATAAATAAAAAAATATTTATAGGAGTATGGCCTGTATTATTTTTATTTTGGT